TGACCGACTCTCTCTTTTGTCAGACTTCTTTGAGTCCGACTGTTTACTGATGTTGCAGAGCTCGGTCGCCTGTGTATAGGCATCCGCCTCCATCAATGCTTCTTGGAGAGTAGCAACCCTCTTCCTGACAAGGTCGAACTTAAAGGCCGACTCGTCTTTTCAGACCTTTGAAAAAGTCTGTATAGGACACCTCATCAGACAGTCCTTGAATCTGAATTTTCATCAGATTGAACCGCCTGATGTATGACCGAAGGCCCTCTTTCTCTCCCAACTAAATTGCACCCAAGTCAAGGCTTGTTTTTTTAGCATGGATGTTCATTGAGAAGCTAGACGCAAACAAGTAGGCAAGCTTCTTGAAATTATTGATGCAGCAGGCTGGCAGGTTGCCGAACCATTGTTGAGTAACGTCCTTTAATGTGGCCGGGAAGCATCTACACCATGCGACATCATCCAGCCCTTGAAGATACATAAGGTTGGTGTATGCCATAAGGTGATCTTCTAGATTGGTGGTACCGTCATAGGTACTTACCAATACATTTTTCACCTTGGCCGGCTGTGCGGCCTCAGTTATTTCCCTGGAGAACGCAGAGGGCTGTTCCCCAAATCTTAGCAGTCGGAGTTGCCAGTCCAAGGGTTGGACATTATGTGCCGCTAGCCCCCCGAAGAGGGTCGGCTACATGTAAGGTTGTCCATACGGCTGTTGAGGCGCATATGGGGCCGCATGGAGCATCTGAGGACTAGAGTTGGCGGACATGCCGCCTGTCTGGTTCTCTCGGTTTGATTGTGAATACCTCATTGAGGTATTCTGAAAGCTGTCTTGTAAGTTCGACGTTGAAGCCGACTATGACAGTTGCATGTTCTTCTTCTGCTGGATTAACATCCGGGCATCAGAATAAGTTTTCTTTGAACCATCCGATTGTACATGCCGGATGACCTTCCTCTTTCCTGGTTCAGGGAACCGGAGTTTAGCTAAATTAACAAGGGCCTCTGTCCCTCCCTTGGTTTAGGGTAAGGAGTGGCCTCTCGGTATTTAACCGGCTTATTCCTTCTAGAATGGGAGGGCTTCTTGGTCGATTGTTCCCTGGTGGAAACAACCGTCTACTTGTCAATCAGGTCCTTAATTTCCCCTTTGAAACTTGTCATGAGAGTCATGAGCTCGTTTCTGGTGATAGGGATGGAGCCTTCGGCCGCCTGGAGTTGACCGACCAGCTGGCCGGCTGGTTTGCTAGGGCCCGCCTATTTGTCAATCCATTCCCTCCTTTCAATGGGACGGATGCGCCTAGTTCTTAGGGACCCGTCAGGGGCCGTGTGCGTATCGACTTCATAGTCGTCATCTGTATCCTGGTCTGTATAGACCTGGACGTCGGCTATAGGTCATTTCTCATTAAGAGGCGGTACAGACTATGAAGCCATCTCAGAAGTATTCTCCCCACAGACGGCGCCAAATGTTTCGGGGTTTTTTATGCGTCCTGCGAGAGAGTTACCACACCAAGACTGGCCTCTAGACGCCTGTACCTGCAAAACAACGGAGACTCTTGTGGGTGGGAGTTTCGCCTCCGACGATCAAGTTAGAACGTGTTCGGATGTAAAAAGAGCGGAAAGTAAAGGGGATCAGGCTTCTCTTAGGAGAGGAGTGATCATCCGGCTATATGAGATAACCTCGAAATCCAAGCCTTAGCTCTCAAGTAGTGCAATTAAAGCTGGAGTTAATGCTCAACAATTAATGTACACGTGTGTTTGATATTTTCTGAATGATGTTCCTTAGGGGGAACATCTCCCTTTTTTAGGGTCTCGTAATGCGTTACCAGTACTAGTTTCATAGGCTTGATTAGGAATTTGGGCCGTCAAAGGCCACTTTCCTAATTGGCAATCTGTCTGCCACATGTCGTGGTCTGATTGGTCCACCTTGGACCTCTCGCGAGGTAACACGTGACGGACTCTGGTTGGTCCACGTGGATGACACATGGCAGAATTTAATTGGTCCACGTGGCGGGAAAAAATCCCCTAATCAATAACAATAATAATAACAACAACAATAATAATAATACAAATATTAATAACAATAACAATAATAATAGTGACAAGAACAATAATTATAACAATAATAATAAATTAATATATAATAATAATAATAATAATAATGATAAATTAAAATAACGTTGAGTTAGATCTTACAACAACGCTTCGATTGCTTTCCGCTAATTGATTTCCCAAACTTATAATTTTTGTTTTATTAATTTTTATAATTGAGAGTATTAGAGAAATAAAGATTATATGAGTTTTTTTTTTTTTTTGTTTGAGAAGTAGAGATTATAAGAGAGTAGGAATTACAGAATAAGAGATTTGAGAATAGATAAGTTGATGAATTGTGGAAAAAAATGGAGGAAGAAGTGAAGTATTTGTAGGAAAAATGATGAATTAGCCGTTAGAGTGGTTGTTGGAATATAGCCGTTAATATGGTTGTTACAATATAGCCGTTTATGGCTGTTGGAAGCTGCAGAAAGTAGCCATTATGCACGGACCGTGCCATGTTGGGTCGTGCCTAACCGGGTCGCGTGCCGGCCTGCGAGCCAAACAATCGTGCCGCCTACCGTGCCCGTGCCGAGTTTTCAAAATTTTATTCACGGTCCACTGCTGGGCCACCGTGCCACCACCGTGCCGTGCTCGTGCTGCCTGCGGGCCGGCACGGCCCATTCCCATCTCTAAGTACAGACACAACCACGATGCCCACGAGTAACTCATAAGCTGAGTTATTGCCTTTTACTCTATCTTCTCAAATTTCAGTATTTACAAATTTTAGATGTAATAAATTCAGATAAGTTAAGTCAACTTCAGAAAAAATAAATTCTAATAAGAGTTACTCAAGTTTAAATTACAAATAAAATAAGTTTTAATAAGGTGTAATAAGTTCAAATTAGTTTATGTAATTAAGTTTAGGCAAATTCGAATAAGATAAGTTTAGATAAATGAATATTAGGTGGATAGAAATAGAACCCTCCTTTTATAAGATGATTTATTATTTATTTCTTTTATTTTATTTTAAGAAAAAGTGAGTGTAAAATAATGGATGAAGTAAGAAAGTACGGTACTATAGTTTGATTAATTTTCGTCTTTTCAGAGGACTAAATACAACGTACATCTAGTAAAATAAATAAATAAATAAATAAATAAATATTACGTACATATAAAGATATACTATATTTTACTGATTAATTATAATACTCGAGATTATATTTGTGATTTAACGTTATTGATTTTTAGCTATTAAAACTTATTTTGATTGAACTAATTTTTGTTGGACTCAAATTGTTTGTACTGAATTATATAATTTTTTTACTAAATATTATTTAAATACGATGGAGTGAATAGAGCCTTATAATGTAGCTACTTCGTAGGATGTTAAATATATTTTAAATATCTATAATACTTGTGCATTGTAAATTGAATTTGTACCAAAAAGGTATATATGGAGTATGGACTATAATGCAGAACTCATTGGACAATTAATTTCCAAGCGGATAGTTTTTTACTTGTGATTTAAAACTTTTATTATAGTATTTTTTTTATAATTATTATCGGTCTTAATAATGCCGCGAAATCATATGTTATGATACATATAGTGTGTGTTGGTGTTATTGTTTTCTTTTAGCTAGCATTTCAAATTACAATTGTTAAATGTTACTCCCTTCGTTTCATAATATTAGTTTCATTTACGTATATCGATATAAATCTTTGATTGTAAATATCTTTGATTTCACACTAGCAAAAATATAAAAATTAGATATTAATAAAGTAATCATCGAGACGAATAAAACTAGATCTCATATGAATATGTTTGTTATAAAAATTCTAGCGTAATCGTCGACTATAGACAACAACGACTACAGACGACTACACTAAAAGATTAAATCTGAACCGTTGATATATTAGTTGTCTAATCCTAGCCACTCAATCCAACACCTAAGCTACAAAGTCATCAAGAGATTGTTTGGTTAATTTTTTTGATTTTTACGAGCATGAATATTTTTTTATTAAAATCCAAAAAAAAAAAGTTTAACAAATTTTAAATATTTCATCTTCAACCTAAATCATCTTTCACATTTTAACCTTTGTATGGATATGAATATCATATTCAACCTTTGTCATCTTCATCAAACATTCATCTTCAACAAAAACATGCATCCTCCAAAAATCTAAAAATAAAAAATTCATTTTAGTGTTGTTTGGTCAAATAATTAAGGAATAAATTATTTAAATGTAATTAGCTATAAGAAACGACATTATAAATAAAAAGAAATTAGAGTTAGTTTCATCTTCAATTTTCATTAGCAATAATGTTCAACTCAACCTTCATCAATGGGTTCTTATAAAAAAAAAATCTCCATTGCCAACCTTAACCTTTAACTATTTCAAAATTTATCATCGTCATCAATTATGTGAAATTAGAAAATTAAATTATAATCATCACATTAATGCCTACGTTTTTTTAGTCAATATAAATTGTAATATGACATCAGTTATATGTTTTAAGTCTAATCCTCCATTGATGAACATAAGTTATTAACGATCACGTAAATATAATCAGCAGTTATTTCCTTTTTTAAAAGAAAAGGCAATAAAAAATTTTGCCCATTAATTTTATTTTTGAAAAAAAAAACCCAAATAAATCGCAAATCATGGCGTGATCAGAGGATATCTTTTGGTCTCTAATTGGACTAATTCTCCACTATCTTTGCCTAGATAAGATCATGATATTTTATTACTAAGATTTTTTTATTAACTTCCTAAATCAAATTGGGTAATTTTCTTTATATTTTAAAAACACTTAACATATATTTTTTTTCTTCAAAAAAAAAAAAAAAAAAACATATAATTTTTATGGAAGGAGTTATTTTTTTTTTACTATTTTTGCATACATTAATACTTAATTACATGTACTTGAATTTTTTTTTTTTTTTTTTTTTTGAACCAATATATGGGAATATTCAAATATAAATTTTACATATTAGCTAATATATATATATAGGGTCGAGATCCGGTGAGAGCCACCCTTTATGTGAGAACCACCATCTATGTGAGAACCAATACCGGCCATTAGATTATATGAAATTCAACGGTTAAGATTAAAATACAAAGTTGCCATTCTCACGAGTCCCTTTCTCCTTTCTCTCTCTTCCTCTCCACTCTCGCGTTTTTCTCCTCTCCGTTCTCATCTCCTTTCTCTCTCCTCCTCTCCATTTTCTTCTCACGCATCTCTCCTCTCATCAACACAATAACCACCGGCCACAACAACCACGGTAACCCATCAAGCAGACCCCACCAAGCAACAACACCGACAACAAACCCACCGAGCAGCCCCCAACACAGCAAACCACCGAGCATCACCGACTCACCGAGCAAGTACCACCAAGCAACAACGCAATACCAACAACAACACCGACGAGGCGACACCCACCGAGCACCGCCAGCGTTTTTCAGATCTAATTTTATTTTAGGTAAGAATTTAGATCTAGTTTTATTTTTTTCAAATTTCATCTTTTATATGCATTTCTAAAATTCTGTCTATTTGGTAAAGGAAATTTGGAATCTTATGTTTCTAGGATTCCTTATTTTTAATTTTTCTTTTGGGTTTAAATTTGATGAAGGATAAGTTAGCATCTTCTTGTATTTTCTGCTATTTTACCAGTTATTTTTGGAAAAAATAAAATAAAATAAAAAAAGTGGGTGGCTAGCTTAAATTTCTTCCTTCTTCTACCCTTTATTTTATTTTTTTCATTTTACTCTTGTCCCTCTTTTTCTGAGCATTTATCTCTTCAAATTTTGAATAGTATTAATTTAATCATCCTTCTCTCTCCTACTTTAAGAGTTGAGATTGCTAGTAGTTTACTAAATAGTGGATGAGTTTGTTACATGTTCTTGGTTTTGGGTTAAAAGTAGGACATGTACTCTTACTGCTATGTTGTTGGCTTACCTCTGTGATCCCCATGAATTGGCTGATTAATGGTGGTGTAATGGACGACAAGACTAGTTTGCTTGGCGGCAGCGACAGTGGTGGTGGCGATGGTAAAGTGGTGGGTGATTGGTGGCCAAAATCGCGTCAAATAGCCGTATGATCCACCATTACTATTACCACTATATAGGTCAATGAAGTTGAGGAAATCATGGTGGAAGAAGCTTTTGGTTGCTTGGGTTGTATTTTGGATCATATTTTGTTTTGGGGTGTTTTAGTTTATGAGTCCATACGCTGTTGAAAAAAGTAAAGAAAGCCTTACTAGTATGTGTGATGAAAGGGCTAGGATGTTGCAAGATCAATTTAATGTTAGTATGAATCATATTCAAGCTATGTCCATATTAATTAATTTCTACTTTTCATCATGGCGAGTATCCATCTGCTATTGATCAGGTATAAATCTATTTGAATTCTATTTTTTTAGCTAATATTTGATGATTTTGTGTATTATGATAACTGAAAATGATATTTTTTTTTATGGGGTTGAGATGTAAATTTTACTCCTGAAATTTGTATCTCTGTTGTCAGCACTCAGCAGAGCTAATGTCCTGTGGATATTGTGTCCAATTTGTTGAATTTTATCTAAAACTGGTGAACTTGGAAGGGAAAACTTTTCTCTTATTAGGTAACCTGGATGAACACATAGAATGAGTACAAATTCTTCATATTGATTCATTACCGAATAGCTTGAAGTTAATTTATTTTTTAGTATATGATGCTAAAAATTAAAGTATTTCGGCGATTGGGATAATATCTGCCTAAAGAGTTTGGTATTGTTCTTGTAGAGTGGCTCACACTGCCTCAGAGCTATTTTTCTGTATTAGTTTGGATATGGTCTTTGTTTTGTCAGATTAAGTCTGATAGTATGCTACTTATAGAAAAAAAAAAAAAAAAAAAAAAAAGGTCTGATAGTATGCTCGTATGGTTTCATTGCTAGTATTAGACAATTAGTAGCTAACTAAGGGGAACATTGAACAAAGAACTTTTGCAAGATACACCGAAGAACTGCTTTCGAACGGCCTTTAACAAGTGGGGTGGCATATGTTGTGAAAGTGCTCCATTTAGAAAGAGAACAATTTGAGAAGCAGCATGGTTGGACTATTAAGAGGATGGATACTGTTGAACAAGAACATGTTCATAAGGAGGTTTTGCATGCCTGCAGTGTGGTTTCAAGATGTTCACCGGGGCTACTGCAATTCTTTGTTCATTTTATCAAATGAGCAAACAATTCTTTGTTGATTTATCAAATGAGCTGATTAAAAATTTATAACAAAGAAAATGATTTAAAACATATGATAAACCTATTAGCTCAAATGGTAGATCACTATGCAAATGTATAGCAGATGTACGTTCAATTCCTACATAGGTTATCTCTATAAACAAAATTAATTAAAAAAAAAAAAATCAAATTCATACTAAATTATATGAGCAAAAAAATGGTTTGAAATGATTTATAACTGTATAAACTTTGTTCTAATTAAACTCTCATACAAACTTGTGTCTCCACATTACATAAATGAACCTACGTTGGATTCGAACCCACATCTTTTTTGCACATGCACAATGCTCTACCCTTGAACTAGTAGGCTAACGTATTTAAAACATTCAAACACACTCACAACATAACATAAATTTGACAAAATGAGCAAGAATCATGAGCATTAAATAGTTTCTCATTTGACAAAGGAGCATTGAATTTTTGTTCATTTGTCAAATGAGCAAAAAATAATTGCTCATGTGACAAATGAGCAAAAAATTAATTGCTCATTTGACAAATTATTTGCTCATTTTTGACACATTAGTAAAGAATAAATATTAATTTTTGACAAAATGAGCCAAAATTATCTGCTCATTTGACAAATGAGCATTAAATAGTTTGCTCATTTGATAAATGAGCAAAGAATTGTTTTGCAATTTTATAACCTGTAATTTTTTGTAAATATCAATGAAGAAAGATCAACTTTTAGCAAATGAGCAAATAGTTAGTTGCCCATTTGTCAAATGAGCAAATACTTAGTTGCTAATTTAACAAATGAGCAAAAACTTAGTTGCTCATTTGGCAATTGAGAAAATAGTTAGTTGCTCATTTGTCAAATGAGCAAACATTTCTTTAATCTTTCATTAAATCAACAAGCATTTCTTTGCTCATTTGTGAAATGAGCAAACATTAGTTTGCTCATTTGTGAAAGGAGCATTGAATTTTTTTGCTCATTTGACAAATGAGCAAAAAATAATTGCTCATTGACAAATAAGCAAAAAATTAATTGCTCATTTAGACATTATTTGCTCATTTTTGACAAATTAGTAAAGAATAAATATTAATTTTTGACAAAATGTGATTCTTCCTAAAGTCAACTTGTCTTATGTAGACAAGGACACAAATAGTAACTAACATCAAAATAGTAACCAATAAAAAGCATATCAACTTCAGACTTCTCTACTGTGAATGCTCTTGGATTGCTTCCCCTTAGGGATGCTACTAAGATCATATCATTGACAACTAGATTTCTTAGGTTGCAACACTAGCTTTCTTTAACCTTTTTTTTCTTTTGACCAATTTGTTTAACAGATTCAATAGTATTTACTTCACTTGAAATAATTGAGAGGCTAATACTTCGAACGAAATTTTTCAATGATATGACCTGCAAACAAATCAAATGTGTAAGGAGAAAGAGAAAAAAAATGAAGCAATAAAATGAAACTACAGAATCACATTACTTATTGTTTATCAAATTGATTTCATTAGTCATCGGACTGTTATGAGGTCGAAAAAATTAGCTATTAAATAAACTTGCGGCAGCAATTGATTCTATCATTGAAATGTCTGTGTAACATACGAAAATGCTGTTAACCGGAAGCAGTGGGTGTCTTTTGTATTGTTTTCCTAATAGCCAAAAGAAATAAATTTCATAACTACTCAAAATTTTCAAACTTTGCATTTTCACACTACTCTACATGCTAATTGAGTGTAGTTTGCTCATTTCTTTGCTCATTTGTGAAATGAGCAACCATTAATATTCTCATTTGTCAAATAAGCAAATAATTAGTTACTTATTTGTAAAATAAGCAAACATTTCTTTGATCATTTGGAAAATGAGCAATTGATTTTTTTGCTCATTTAGCAAATGAGCAAATAGTTAGTTGCTAATTTAACAAATGAGCAAAAACTTAGTTGCTCATTTGTCAAATGAGCAAACATTTCTTTAGTCATTCATTAAATCAACAAGTATTATCAAGAATCATACACTCATCTGCATTCTCAACAAGCTGATGAACAGACAAAGTAGCATTGTAAGGCCCAACCACTGTATCAGACACCTTTGGTGATGGGAAAACTTAAAATGTCATCATCATTCGATTTGGGTATTCTTCCCAAATCTTTGAAATCAACAAAGTTCCCATCCCAAATCCAGTACCACCTCCCAATGAATGACAAACTTGAAACCCTGCAATTTAATTCCATTTCACACCCACATTCAGATCCAACACCAGAAAACAAAAACACAAAAACAAAAATGAAAAAAAAACTAAAAAAAAAAAATTCAGTGAGACATTTCGTCGAATACCTTGTAAGCAGTCACAATTCCCAGCTTCTTCCGACCAGTATCCAATGCCCACCACTGCACCACCCTCCTACAAACCCACACATAATCCCACCCATAAAGACCCACGTTCAGCCAACCATAACTAGTTTCGGCTTCAGGTCAATAGATTCGGCTTTAGGGACTGAAATCTCCATTGGAGAGCTCATTTTCTTGAAATTGGGGTTTCTGCAACAAGTTGATTTAGATTGATGAACACGACGAAATCGAATTCTTCGTGATGATCCAGAGTATAGAAGAGAGAGAAATGAGTGGAATCTCATGAAAAAGGATGAACATTTGATTGGAAATTGATGAATCCAGAACAATCTACTCCAACTCCCACCGTTGCCTCTGAATCAGATGCTTCTCCAGTTATAATTGATATTTAATTGTGGCCATTGGATGTAATTGATCCAACGGTTATAATGAGTCCTCACATATAATATGGTTCTCGCATAAGGGATGTGGTCTCATATGATCCCATATATATATATATATATAGGGGAGGGATCCGGTAAGAACCCCTCCTTATATAAGAACCAATCTCAGCCGTAGGATTAAGGTAATTTGGACGGTTAAGATTAAAACACGTATTTTTCCTCATACCCTCTACCAACCGATCAAAATTTTCTCTCTCCTCTAACTTTCTCTCTCTTCGTGTTCATCACATTCTCTCTCTGCAAACCCCCAAAAATCTCCATAGAAATTGCAATTTGAAGGATTTTCATCTCCAAAGAAATTGCAATTTGAAGGATTTTCAAATCAGGTATGTTTTTTTTTCGATTTTGTTCAAATTTCCATGAACTTAGCATGATGTTCAAGTAGATCTTGCGATTTTTTGATTTGATTTTTGCGATTTTATGTTTTCCGATTTTTTGATTTGATTTTGCGATTTTGTGATTTGATATTTGCGTTTTTCTGTTTTGATTTTAATGAATTTCGCATGGAGTTTGATTTTTTTGAGTTCGATTTTTGCAAATTTCGTGTTCGAATTTAGGGTTCTTTTTTTGCGGATTTAGGATTCGAATTTAGGGTATTCGAATTTAGGATTTAGGATTCAACACACAACAAACCGCTTGTTTTCTCTCTTTTTTGTGCAATAGTGTGTATAGAACAATGATTATATTAGTGGCTTTGCAGCCATTTTTTTTCCTGCTTATATTCATTGCTGTAATGTTCTGTATCAATTTTGATTCATTGATTAAATATATCAGGTTTCGGGTAATTAAACTCGTGTTATTAAAATTAAAAAGCGTTTATTTTTTTCCTTTTTTTGTTGGTCATTAGTTCAGTTCATAGCAGTAGTCATCCAAATTATGGTGTTACAACTACTTGTGTATAATGCCTACCCCGATACACTCAAGAATAAGAATAAGTTCTGCTAAAAATTGTTTGTTAAGTAAACAATTCAGGCTAAACAAAACTTTTAAACTCGATTAATGAGCAAGCATAGCTTGAACAACTTGGCATTACTTGTTCTGCTTGCATCAATTCGTCATGTCTAAAAACAAATCTGGCTTATTCTCTATGTTCTATTTTTTCTTATTTTTGCGAATTTATAGTTCGAATTTAGGGTTCTTTTTTTGCGGATTTAGGATTCGAATTTAGGGTTCGATTATTGCTGATTTTTTCGGATTTTGATTTCGAAATTGGTGATATCGAACACAAATTTAGCAAAATAATTGCAATTAAAAGAAATTGAAAAGTAATCGAAAAAAACCGGGAAAAAAAAACCGAACACAATTGAACAAATTTAAGCTGAAAATTCGAACAAAAATTGAAAAAAAATTAAGCGAAATAATTAAACCATAATTTAAAAAATTAAACCTAAAAAACGAAAATAAATGAACATATACAGAAACAATC